TAGAATTTTATTCAAAAATTAATTTGGTAATTATTTAGTTATAATTATAATCTAAATAATTAATAATAGTGTTAACCTCTTAACACAATGAGTTTTTGGTTGTTTTACATTAAATGCATTCAGATATAAGTACAAAAACACCAAACTAACATATATGTTTCTGGATACAACTTCTAGACGCATAAGGCAAAAACACAAACGAACATCTTGCGTCTAGATATTGCGTCTAGACACGCAAGCGAAAAACACCGAAATGGGGAGAACGCTTTCAAATCCGGAAGCCATGTTGACCAAATTCCTCCCTAAAGAGACGATGTCATCGATAGAACTTTGGTTTTTCAACCCACATTCATCTATCATTTCGTCGAATCTCACCACCGTCTCCCGATCTACCATATCTCCCAAAATTTGATGGAACCCACCTACGTGAATGGATTCGTCGCTGCAAGCAGTTCTTCGACCGTCATAACATACCTCCAAAACAGAAGACCCATGTCGTCTCTCCTTACATGGTGTGTAAAGCTCTTCAATGACATAACAACTTTATATGAAAACATTATGGTAGTTTCCCATCGTGGTTAGATTTTGCTATTGCTATCTTTGTTGAATTTGGTAAGTGTGATGATGATCTTTCGCAACTGCTTCAAGCTTCGTAAAGTCCTTACGACAAAAATCCATATGCAAAATCCGTATTGCTCTCCAGACCAAACTTCACTCCTAAACCGTATGAGAAAATGCATGAGATAAGAACCAATGAGGAGTTTGCGTGTGTGATGTGAGAAGAACCAAGGAGGAGCTAGTCTAGTTTATGTAACAGATGTATCAGCTCATGAGATAGAGTTGATTGGTATGAAGGTATGACAACATCAGACATGATTCAAGACTATAGAAGGAAGTGAGTCCATATTCGCTCATTGAGACTATGACTGTAGTAATTCAAGACAATGACTCAATATTGGAAGCATACCACCATGAATTGCTTTCATCACCATCTCATGTACCAGTCTCTTTCTTGGATTCTAGTCGTAGATGATACACTAGATATTGTTGATGATTTGCCATCTAGAATTGTGAGTAC